GAACCTGGGATTTCATGGGCAAATGCAAGATGACTATCCCTTATCCAATGATCTACTATTTGAAGTGCTCAAAAATTCATCATGTTGAGTGTCAACATATCAATAAAAATGGAAAGTTCCACACTTGCCCTTATATGATGAGTTGTAGTCTAAACACAGGCACTCTTAAATTGTATAAAATTACCTTTAGGTAATTTTCAAATTCACTTACACTTAGATTTCATAAGATTGCTCTCAGAGACTTCTAGAAAGACTGTTACATGTTACATCAAGTGTCGGTTTCTAGAGCCTGACTTAACATCTTGAGAAAGGTAACTTTAGGACAATCTTTCAGACTTACTGGTCACTACATTCCCAAAGCTTTCTCGGGGTTTGCTCAGGAATCCAGAAAAATGAGAGCTGACACAGAAATCAGATGGAGGGAGCAGAGGATGTGGACTCCCTGGCAAAGCTCCAAAATTCAGAGTGGAGACACTCTCATAACTGTCACCCTGCAGTCAGGAGCACATGTGCATGCTGCTTGCTCCTGTGACCAGTGCCAGGGGAGGTGAGTTCTACCACTCCTCCCTCTAATGGACGGGAAACAGCTTGGGCAGGAATGGGTAAACTTTATAGCCAAAACACTGCAAGGCACCTTTATGGGCGCATCCCTGTATCACAGCATTTATGCAGCCAGAATCCACTTACAGAGGAAGTATCTCAAGTCCTGCCCTCAACGTCCACCTCAGTGAGGGAGCCTTCCTTCCCTTTCCTCCTTTGGCTCAAAAGTCACAAAACTGAGTTCAAGGGGACAAAACTTATGTGGGCTCAGCCTTAATGACCCTGCTTATTAGGAGGAAATGGAGCTGAATTGGTGCCTGTGGCAGCCTTTGGGAAAGTAGGAGAGTTAACATCCTGGGGACCTGCAGAGTGGGGAACAGGGCCTTCTCCTCATCCGTGGAGGTGGTCTGAGGTGGCAGCATTCCTCTCCAAATGCTGAAGAGCCCAGATTCCACCTAGGAGGAGGAAGCATAGCCCAGCAGTCGTCTCTTCCCTTATGTCATTCACCCATTTGTATTTGCGCCTTCTCCACTCCATCTGAACTCTCAGCTTCCACACAGATGGAGCCTCTGTACAGATGAGGGTACATCCTTTCTACAGGCATGTTGATTATCTTAATTGCCCCATAAGTCAAAAGTATCTCCATGATGTGATCCATGGTCAGTTCCTGGTAATTCTCCCAGCCTGCATTTTGATGGGTTTAAAGGAAGGGTTCTGCCTTTTCCTCTCTACTTCAACACTTTAGGTGGTTGGACATGGAGCAGGAATCTTGTCTGGTGTCCTGCCATCACCTAGAAGGGCGAGGGAGACCCAGATGCTGCTGAAAGCTGGCCTGAGAGATCTGCTGGAGCTTCCCTGGTAGCAGCTGGAAGAGAGGAACTGAGCCCACAGTGGTGCCAGAGCCCCAACTGTAATGTGAGCTGACTTAGACCTGGTCCTTCAGTCGAGACACCTCTTCTGAGTCTCATCACACACACACACACACACACACACACACACACACACACACTCCACCTGTGGTTCACCTCCCCTGGTGGCGCCTCACCTATACAGCAATCCTTGAACTTCTCAAGAAACTGGTCCTTGTGTTGATATGAGGAGGATTCCATTGTCGCCGTAACCTCTGACTCTTTTCAGAAGGTCAGTGTGATTCTGGCAACAGAGTTGAGGATCAGGAAGTAGCTGTCTTTAATTCTTAAGTACACTTTCTGGAGTCCTAGCTGCAGGCATTATTTCATATTTTCAGTATTTAGAACAGCCTGTCAAAACATATCACAGATTGAGTTGTCTTAAAGCATCAGAAATTTATTTCTTACAAATCTGGAAGCTGAGGACCAAGTTGCTGGGTGATTGATTCCTGGTGAGAATATTTCCTTTTCTTGAAGACCGTTGTGATCTTATTGTGTTCTCCACAAAACAGAGAAAAAAATATCCCTCTTCGTCTTCTGATGAGGCCACCACAATTACAATTTAAATGAGTTTTAAAAACTGGTTCTAATTCATTAATTCCTCATCTGAGAGTTCAATCTTTCACCAAACAAACAAACAAATAAATAAATAAATAAATAAATAAATAAACCACCAGAGAACGCAAATAAGAAACAGATTTGATCAAAACATCTCTTGCTCTGAAAATAAAATCTCACTTAAACTTGGTCCCACAGAGATTACACAGAACTCACTTGGAGTATGGACTAGGTATCTAGGATTTTGCAAGCTGCCCAGGTGATTCAGTTACACAACCCTGTTTCAGACCCACAGTAACAAAACATGAGGGTATTGCCTAAAAGTCTTTCTCTTTTAAGTGTGTATGTGTGTGCCATAGCATGCGTGCTGAAGTCAGAGGATAAGCTCAGGTGTCCATCTCTGCCTTCTAATTTGCTTGACATAATACAGACCAGCAGGCCTGGGACCTTGTAGAATTCTCCTGTCTCTGTCTCCCATCTCACCATATGAGCACTGGGATTACAGACTGTCCCTTCAGAGCTTGGCTTTGTGTGGGTTCCGGGATCTAAACTCAGGGTCTCACTCTTGCTAGACAAGCACATTACCCACTGAGGCATCTCCCCTGCCATTAAGCTCTTTTAAGCTTTGTTGTCTTCTTTTCCTCCCATCCCACAGCTCTAATGGCACAGG